TAACTTCTTCCTTTTTTCTTTCTTTCTTTCTGTTTATTTTATTTTATTTTATTTTATTTTAAATTTTTTTTAATTTTTATGGGAGGATCTTTTAACTTGCGTTTGTCAGGTAGAAATATTTAAATCCTTAGATGGATAAAGACCATATTATTTTTTCTTTTCTCTCACATTGTAGGAATGATGAGGAAAAGCTTGCTTTCTCAGAGCTTTTAAAGCTATCAAGATTCTCACAGGTACCACATTCCAATAGAACTTCTTGAATTCATTTTTATATTATAAGGTCCATTTCTTCGCGGTTGCCACCATCTGGAAGTTGCAAGTTTAATTGGCTCTAGATACTGCTGGAATGCATCACTTTCCTTTATTATCCTTGGACCCTTGCCTTAGAAGAAACAATTTTGTTCTTTCTTTTTGTTCCCAAGTCCATAGGTTGTAGGCCTTAAAGTTCCCATAGATTATTCTTTACCCTCTAAGAAAGCACCTGTAAATTGATTGTTAAATGAGAACAATGAAATGAATAAAATGGTCACTGTTAATAGAAGAAACATGAAACCCGTTAATCCATTATGCTTTGTTAAACACCTAATAATACTAAGTTCTTCACTGTTTGTAAGCATGACTGTGTATGCTAGTCACAAATCCTGATAACATCGCAAATTCTTAATTGACACCTTGAAAATTTTCAATTTCCAGGTATATGTTAAGTTCAGTGCCATGTTCAGGGTGTCAAGAATGCCATTTCCATACCAGGATTTGACCCCACAACTAGCTGAGGTTGTCTCCAGTTTTGGTGCAAATCGTATCATGTGGGGCAGGTAATGCTTCTTTCATTCTATCTCTTTCAACCTAATGATTTGTTTTACACATTCGGTGAATGAAAATAGAGTTTGGTGGAACAAAGCAAAGCACGAATTTCTTGATGATTATGAATGTAATAAAACCGCAGTGATTTCCCATATGTTGTTCCCGAATGTGGCTATAAAGGAGCAAAAGAGGCAGTGTCTCTTGTTGCCAGTCAAGTACCCTTGTCACCGACTGAACTAGAATGGATCATGGGTAGAACGGTTACGCAACTCTTCAAAGGTCAATGGCTTCCTTAGACAATATCATCGGTATCTGATCTTTTTCGCCAACGATGAAAGCAAATACAAAGCCGATGATTCTACTGCACTACTTTTGCATATTGTCTGTCTAACGCTATTTCTACTCAAAATGCATGTAAATCTTCTGTTATACTTCAAGTCATGTCCATATATCTGAATTTTCTTAATTGCTAAGTTTGGTAACGTGAGTTTAGTTGGAGTGTATTTGAATTTGGGACTCAAAATTCAAATACATTATTTGTTATACTAAATAAATATGTATTTGAATTTGTTTCAAATACATGTATTTGAAACTGTAGATTTCAAAATAAAAATTGCATGTATTTCAAATACCTTGACTACCCCATGAATTCCAATACTTAATTCTAGTATTTCGTCAAATTAAGTAAGATCCCTAATGAAATATTTGATCAACTTCACCATTAGCAATTGACAATTTTTTATCAGGGCTCTTTTCTCCTTTTGCATAGATCTTCTCTTTCTTTTAATTTTATAGTGGATATGATTTTTCAATGTAAATTTTAAATCTATATCATGGCTAGCACACTCACGAGTCTGCCAATCAAGCTTAAATTATTAGCTATCTCTTCTTTTTATGTGGGTATGAAGGGTTAGGCAAAGGAATGGTTATGAATTTAGAGCGTCAATGCACCTCCTTCCCCACCAGCCTATTTGCTTGGCAACCTCCCTTCACTTTGCTCCTCTTTTTCTTAGAACTAATTAGCACACACTTTACTAGTGCTTGTATTTAAAGGCATGGACCCGTTCTAACTTCTAACTTCATATATTTAGTTGACTGGGCTCCATATTTCGTTCAAGAATGAAGGGGCAATGGAACTCGTTTTCAACGAAGGTGCTTAACTCTATTAGTCCTTTCTGTTTGTGAGTGATTATTGACAAAGTTTTTAGCTAAATTTATTCAATTGAATTGTTGGTTGATATTTGAAAATTTTTGGGTCTTTGAGGTGATGAGACCTAGAAGAGTACTCTTGTTTTGCTTTGCACACCACGTATTCGATAAATTGCCTCACTGGAGTTATGATGTTTTGACTCTTTTAACACAGTACTTCAAAGAGAGAGAGAGAAATAGAGGTATTGACATGAGCAACTAAAATTGTTTACTAAGTGTTTGTAAAAATACCTCAATAAGAACTAATCTCAATTCAATTTCAAATTCATAGTAATGTAATTTATCTAAATTGTATATTTTAATAAATACTGAAAATATATATTTTAAATGGTAAAGTGCCCATTAGTCTTACCTCCAAAAAAAAAAAAAAAAAATTGGAGTCCCAACCAAAACGACGTCGTTCTCTTAATCCCCAACCCTTCCTTTCTGCCTCTTCTGCAATCATCTCCATCGCCTCCCATCTCCATCAACTCCTCTAATTCCTTCAATTTTTCAAACAATTGCATAAGTTAGAGAAGTGACCCTTGCAATTCATCATCTCCATCAACTCCCATCTCCATTGACTCCTTCAATTCCTCTGATTCCGTTGCAATTCATCATCTTCGTTGACAGTAACCCCTGCTTCTTTGAAGGATAGTAAGTGCTTTGTTTTCTTACTAAGCTCTATCTACCCAAAAAGTCAGAAAAAATCTTACTCCTAGATTATCTTTGATTACAGGAATTAAGATGAATTCTTCTCCAATTTCACAACAAATATCTCAAGATAAAATTGATGAGAACAACTACTCAGTATTACAAGCAGTGAATGATGACAATGATAACTTCTTAATTGTACAAGTGGATGATCTTGAGGGATGAGAAGAGATTTCTACTAATACTGCTATGGAAATTGAAGGACCCAAAATGTTGGGTGAAGATGATATTATTGATGGGATGCCTCGTAAAGGTATGCAATTTCCTTGGCTGATGAAGCTCATGAATTTTATAATGAATATGCCAAAAGAATGGGATTTAGTACTCACATGGAGTTTGCAAAGAGGTCGTCCCCAGATGGACCTGTTAATCGAAAATATTTTGTTCGCCACAAGGTAGGAAAAAAGAGAACTTATCAACCTAAAAAAAAGGAAACATGTGACCGTCTAGATCGAGTAAATTGTTGTGCTTGAATGTCTATTCTCTTGAAAGATGGAGTTTGGATTATAAGCCAATTTATTGATGAACATAACCATGAGATGTCTAACTCCCCAAATAAAGTAAAAAAGCTACGGTCCCACAACAAAAAACACTTATTACCGGAGACAATTGAGCTAATAGATCAATATAAACAAGCTGGCTGTGGACCTTCTAGAATTGCAAGACTTTGAATGTGACAGGCAGTGGTACATCAAATATTATCCCACAACAATGTTAACAACATTTGAGGAAAAAAAGGGAGAGCAACATTGGTCACGAGTGCATGATGGTTATGCAACAATTTTTATTCATGACTGCTTCAAATGAAAATTGTTACCATGCCATAGAGATCGATGAAAATGGTGTTTGTAAGAGCTTGTTTTGGGCAGATGGGAGAGCTAGGGAAATGTATCAAAATTTTGGTGATGTTGTGGTTTTTGATGTGACATATCGGACTAATACATTTCTTTTACCATTTGCACCATTTACTGGTGTAAACCATCATGGGCAGTCAACCTTGTTTGGATGCGCCCTCCTATCGGATGAACAGGAAGATACCTTTGTGTGGTTGTTTGAGCGGTGGCTACAGTGCATGGGGGGTAAAGCACCTGGTGCAATTATCACTGACCAAGACCCAGCAATCACCAATGCAATTAAAAGGGTTTTTCCGAAGACACGTCATAGGTTTTGTAGTTGGCACATCTCACTTCATGAGGATGAACATCTTCGGGCTTTAAGATCATCATATAATCCTAGATTTGATGAACAATATTAAAGTGGGTGAGAAAAAGTAAAACTATTGAAGATGCCGAGAGTGCATGGAAAAAGTTAAAGGAGAAATATAAACAAGAGTTTATGGAGCCATTGACAGATAAGCAACACAATAAAAAAAAGTCCTGGAAATGGTTAGAAAGCATGTATGAGCAATGATATAGTTGGATTGATGTGTATTTAAGGGACATGTTTTGTTGGAATGAGATCAAGTCAACGAAGTGAGAGCATTAATTCATTTTTTGATGGTTATGTGAACTCTATGACACCATTATCCAAGTTTGTTGGCCAACATGCGAAAGCTCTACAATGTCGTCGTGATGAGGAAGTGAATGAAGACATGTGGATAATGAGAGCAAAGCCAATTCCATGTCACTTGCATAAGTTAGAAGTTTGAGTGCGAATGGTTTACACTAGAAAGATGTTTGCTAAATTTCAAAGTAAGTTCATAGATTCTTTATATTGTGTGCATGATGAAGTAGCTACTAGTGATGGCATGACCACATATGATGTTAGTTATGGGTTTGGAGGCAAGGTTGATTCACACTCTGTGTGATGTGGTCCATCGAAGGAGGAGTTTGCTTGTACTTGTGGGAAGTTTAAGACTAGTGGTATTTTGTGTAAATATATTTTGCACATAATGATGCAATGTTATCGAATGGAAAAGATTCCTAAACAATACATTTTGGCTAGATGGACCTTAGCATATAGATATAGCAGTAAACAGGCTCAATTGATAAGCACATCAAAAGAATTAGTGGTTTCTGCACTTGATTCTTGGAATCTTCGAAAATCTCTTAATGAAGTGCATGACCAAGCAATAAGTCATGGCAAACTTTATAACGTTGGTGCAGTAATGGTGGAAGATTTGAAAAGGCAATTATATAGTATTAGAAGGGAACTTGAAGGTTTGGTTACTGAACAAAGTGAGCAAGATTCTGGTGCTCAAGCAATATCTCAAGATTTAATTTCAAGTAATATAGATATTCATGATCCGAAAAAGGTTAGAACCAAGGGTCGACCAAAGGAACTTTCTAGGATTCCTGCAAGAAAACAAGTGTCACAAAATACAGCTCATATTAGAAGGCTGACTTGGAGCACATGTGGTATTAAAGGTCATGATTCTAGGACTTGTGGAAAGACAAAAGACAAGGTAAAATTATTAAGTTAATCATTATTTTTTTCACTTTTCAGCATCCTATTTGCATGTAACTTAACAATATATTGGTTTTGTGCTTTGTTTATTAGGTCATAGAAGATGGAAGTGCAAGTCATTTACCCCATGCAAAGGAGTGATTGTTATGATAGAGTAACCATTGAGCTTATTTTGTAAAGAATTGGAGCTTATTTTATTTAGTGTTAGGTTTGTTTTGGATATGAATTGAGCTTACTTTGTGAAGTTTATAGAAATTTGCAATGAGCTTATTTTGTGAAGTTTACAGCTTTATGAAATTTATAGTTACAGCTTACTTTGTGAAGCTTATAGAAATTTGCAATGAGCTTACTTTGTGAAGCTGTACTTCGAGAAGTTTATAAAAATTTGCAATGCATTTATATAAGTTCTCTTAATTATTTGTAATGCCTTATAGAAGTTTTTCATTTTAGATTTTTCACCAAGATTTATGCAAAATTTGTTAATTGTAGTGGAAATTTATTTTGTACGTAAAAGGTCAATTGTCCACTTTATTGCATATAACCAATTTACAACCTACAATACAAAATTTTGTATGTGAGCTTACAAGTCACATTTTGTCATAATAAAGCCAAAAAAACATGAAAAAGAAGAAGCCACAAACAAGCTAAGGTTGCAGAATGTCTTGGTTTTTTGGCCTTTTTGCTGTATGCCTTGTTCAACTCATTCTTCACAACATTCTCCACTATGAAGGAAACTATCTTCTTCTCAAAAGCAACATCAACCTCATTCTTTAATTGTTCAACCTCATCATTGAAAAAAACCTCTTGAGACCTCATGTTTGCTAAGTTGGCTCCTCAGTAGCTGTAAAGACAAAAGATAACTTCATTTGCCCTCTGCTGCCATGCCATTCAATTTGTTAAAATCTGACTTGTCATAACAAAAGAACTTTCTTTCACATACTTGAATTTTTCCTAAGCATTAACCTTGTCCAAACAAAAAATATTTCCATCTGACTTGACCAAAGCATTAATAAACCAAAGGGTGATTGATTCTTTCCTATTCCAAAAAAAAATGATTCTCAGATACACAAATACAATCTTCAAATTAAAACCATAAAGTCAGGTCTAAATTCTGGAACAAATAAATTCTAATAACATAGTTACCAATCTACAAACTTAATGTAAGGAACAAATAAAAGCTACCAATCTAAAGAAAAAATCCAAAGCTAGGCCTCTAGGGGGCACCAAGGAAAACAATACTAAATTCTAATAACATAAAGCAGTTCTAAAGGAAGCGGTGTGACAGCACCATTAATACTACAGTCATCTGCATGCTCCAATCCTCAAAATGCTAGTATTCTATAGCATGAACAAATAATTTACATAATTTACAAGGCATCAGTTTAAGAATTTTATCATCAAATAATTAAGAAAAGATGGCTCTGGCTACCAAATTTAATTGAATAAACAAAAAAATCCTAAAAGCAACATTCTCTTTTCTAGATTCAACAAGAAATTGGAGTAAGAAAACAAAAATACTTTCTGTCCCTGTTGCTACTGGAGAACAAAAGAAGGGTAAATCATTGAATTTCAGAAGGTTGTTTCCTTCGATTCCTTTTTTGATACTATCGACGACGTGATTGTATCTGAAAAATTCAAGGGGCCGATAATTAAAAAGAGATCCAACAAAGAAGAGAGAGATTTTTTCGACTTTTTTGGGTAGATAGAGCTTACCGTCCCTCAATCCCTTCTCTTCGATGGAGATGATGAATTGCAGCAGCATAATGGGGTTAAAGTAGTGGGTGTTGGAGATTAAGTCGTTGGCGTGGGATTGCATTTGAAAAATTGGAGGAATTGGATGAATCGATGGAGATGGAGATGATGATGATTGCAGAAGAGGTGAAGAAAAAGCAAGGGTTACCATTGATGGAGAAGATGAATTGCAATGGAATTGGAGGATTCGGGGGAGTCAATGGAGATGAGAGGCGATGAAGAAGGAATCGGAGATAGAGATGGAGATGATTGCAGAAGAGGCAAAAAGGAAGGGCTAGGATTAAGAGAACGATACCGTTTTAATTGGGACTCCAATTTTTTTTTTTGGGGGACAAGATTAATGCGCACTTTGCTGTATTTTAAACATACTCATTAAATTCAAATTTAAGTTCCTAATCGCAACCAATAAGAATTTCAGAGCTTATGCTCTCTTAGAAGTGAACACCCTTGAAAGTCGAAATGCGTCTCTCCTTTATGATGCTATCCAGAAGAAGCTCAAAAATCAAATGAGGGCCGTTCTACTTAAGATAAAGTTGTTATAAAAAGAAATAGCAGCGGCAAGATTGTAAAAGAACTAGATTGGAAACCCAACTCCAAACATTTTGAATTTTCCTTTGTTAGTCTGTACAGAACTATACCCTCTCCCTGCCCTGCCCTGCCCTGCCCGGCCGACTATTGAATTTTTCTCCACCGGGCACTTAAACCATCACCGTATCATCATCTCTCACTAAGCTTACCTAAATGAAGAAAAAAAAATCAAAGAATTTTAATCAGCAAAAAGCTTTACACTAAGAAGCTTGCACCTATACAGCTCATCAGGGAAAATATCGTACAAAAAATTACAAAACAAAATGGCCTAATCCTCTACACGTTGTATTTCGCCCATCAATATGCGATTGCTGGTGACTTTAAAACCGAGAAGAGCAGGGTCAATTTGCCTGCCTTTCTTTCCTTTCTTTTTACCAGTCCGCCCTCCTTGCGTCCCATCCGAAGTGTCAGCCCCAGTTGTCGCATGGGCCTCTGGTGCAGAAGATTTCTTTGAATTGCTTTTCAGCATGTCAATAAATGATGCTTCTGACACATCGCCCTCACCAAAGGATGATGTACGCCGAAATCGAATCTCTTTCTTTGCCATGGTGTCTGAACCCTGGTCTATATTTCCCCCCGTATCTCGTTTTCCTCCTAAGGATAACACAGGCAGAAAAATTTTAAAGCAGTGAAAAACAAGGCTCCTTGAACTGATGTGGAATGGAAGAGTAACACCACAACTAAAGTAACAGAAGATCTTGAACACTCCCACTCCCAAGAGTGGAAATGTCTCTGTTTCTCGAGCCAAAGATTAAAGAGATGCCATATACAAGTGATCGGGATGAGAGCATTACCATCATCACCACTTATGGAATTCTTTCCCCTACTAGCTTGATCAGAAACAAAATCCAACAATCCTTCCTGTGAAGGAGGAGCATGGACAGGTGGCCGTCTAAGCAACATATTGTCTTGAGATTTAGCTGGGACTTGCACTCTGCAAGTAAAAGTCAATCATAAGGAATGTATACATTTATTACAACTCAAAAGACCATCTATTTTGATAATCTCAAACTCACTACCATAGCTGCATAAAGTCTAGAGGTCCCTGTTGCCAGATACAAGTATAACTTTCCACATGGATGGTACAAAACAAAAGGCTGTTATTCTATGAGCAAAAATGATGATAAGCACAAAGAAAGGGGGTTGGGTGGATGAGGGAAAGCAGGAGGTAATGGTAAGAATACCCAGCATGAAATAGGATAAAGATGCTTCATTAGACTGGTGAAATAATATGAACACGATTGCTTAAAACTTAAAAGGAAGCCTATAACCTTGCTGTAGCTTTGGTTGGTCAAATGAGTGGATGAAATATGTTAAATGCAATGATAATATAAATCCAGTTTGATGAAATTAGGAATGCTGCAGAGTAAGTTATGGTAATGAAACTAACCGATCCTTGGCAACATCTTCAACATATGAATTTAGAAATCCAATCTGGTCACTGTAAGCACTTGCATTTCCACCTGGGAGAAGAATTCAGAAATATCAATTTTACAGAAGATAACACTTTTTAAATAATGCAACACATCAAAATATATAATAACAGAACCTACCAGCAGAACCAATTGAAGAATGCCTACTAAGTGGAATGTCCCTTTCACCTATAGAAGTCAGCCCCCCTTGCTTGATTGAGCCATCATGTACCTCAAATGCTGACCCCTTCATCATGCCCTGGCTTTTGTCACTAATGAGAGACAAGAACCTCTCTCCTTCAGATATAACTCCAGATCCCGGTCTAAGCTGCAATCTTTCATCACTTTCTAAACAGCCAGTGGGCTCATCAGCCAAATAAATGTGCCGCGGTTCAGATGAACTTGAACCATAAGAACCTATTGGAATTGAGTTGTTTAGACCAGCTTCTTGTTCTGAAAGAAGACTGAGTGGATGATCCAAAGAATTTGATCCAGAGTAGATTCTAGATGGAGCCCTTTCCAAGGACTCGGTAGTTTGATTTCCTGATTTTTGATGGAGCAATTCCATCAACAGTTGCCTGGACTTGTCATCACTTAGACCATCAGACATCCATGAGCTGGAATTTGCAGAAGGCATTTTGACCCCCATATCCCTTGTTTGCTGATCAGCATTGATATGCAATTGCTGAATTTGAGATTCAATCCAGTCATTTCCCATCTGCCCATTGCTCTCAACCCAGTGACCTTCAATTGCATGTTGTGAAGCACTGTACTGATTAGGTACTAGATGGTGAGGATTATGAGAACGAAGGTCAGAAGAGAATGTGCCAACCTGACCTGCAGATTGCAAACGTATGCTTGGTTCATCTACATCTAAACCTCTGGCATGAGCCATGGCATTCACCACATTCATATTAATACCTGTTGCACCAACAGGCAAAGACGTTGAGCGCTCAAAAGGGGATGAAGAATCATAAAGCCCTTGCCTAAGCTGCTCCTGTAATGAAAGATTTCGTTCAAGGTGACTTAGCTGCTCCTCATGGGAGGGCCTCTGCTGTTGTTGATAGGGATCCAATGGGCTAAATCCTGACGAGTGAACTCGGTTAATACCAGCAGAATTCCTGAGAAATTGATTTGTTTGATCTGCTGGCCACAAGGAATCTAAATCCCTCTCTTCAATACGCTGTTTCAATCCCATGGACAACTGCCTCTGCAACTGCTCCTGTTGAAGAAACGGATGCTCCAAAGACTGCACTCGTCCATGTTGAGCATGTGATATGAGCTCAAATAGATCTCTTTGATTCTCTTCCAGTGGTGCTTGACCAAATTTTGCTTGAACAAGCTGCTCTAAAGATGGTACAAAGTGCCTGGAGGCATGATGTGATTGTTGTAGTTCCTGTAAAAGCTGATGCTCCAATATAACCTGATCAAGAACATTGCCGGATCTGATAGGAGCAGCATGTGACTCCCCAAGGCCAGGGATGGGCATTTGACCATGCAAAATCTGCTCAAAAAGAGCTTGTTGAACTTGAGACTGTTGACGCTCCTGTAAAAGCTTTTGTTCCTGGTGGAACTGCTGTTGTTGGAGTTGAAGCTGCCGCCGCTGTTGCATCTGAAGCGCCAAAAGATGTTCCAGATCTGGCACAGAATGGTTGGACAACTGTTGCTGGTGAATTAGACTTTGACCAGGAAGATGATCTAGAAGTGACTCATTTAGGCGTGCATGAGGAGAGAACATATTTTGCTGGTTTAACTGCTGTTGTTGAAGTTGTTGAGACATAAGCCGCTCTGTTGGGTCAAAATGGTTTGATTCATGTTCCACATGTGGCATGTGTGCTGCAGCCAATGCATCTTGATAAATATTGGAGTCAGGAAAAGTCCGTTTTCCATAGATGTCAGACCAAGTTTCTCCAGCAATCCCTGGATCAACCATGGCACTGAATGGGTCAGACCTCCCTACCCCAGAATGCATATTGGAAGACTGGGTATGCCTGGTTTGAGCACCTTCAAGTTCAGACCACAATAAACCAAAACGATGCAGCTTATTGTCATTCTCATTTGGCATGCTAGTTTTTGTCAACTCATTTGGTAGAGAAAGGTGGCTACTTGAATTTATGATTGGACTGTGAATGCTTCGAGAAGATTTTGCAATTGAATAACCATTTCCAGATCTTCCTGGAAACACAATTTCTGTAAAGAAACAACAACCATTAGTAAGGGATATAAAGAACAAAATGTATTAGCAAATACAAATACAATTAAAGCATATTAAAGAATCATCAATTAGCAGATAGACCTTCATCTTGTGCAACAAAATCTTCAAAGCTTTGACCCTCAGCCAGTTGCAGTTGCAATTTGGCCTCAGGCTCAGAAATTCTCGACTGCACATGCTGAGCTGCGAGGCCATTGAACTGAGTTGATGCCTGGAACAGCTTTTCAGTGGATGGATCAACACTTTTCACAATTAAGCCAGGAGTATGCATAGCCTCCAAGTTTCCTCCCAATGAACCAGATTGTTCTAACATAGAATTCAGGTCATCAATATCAGCATGCTTGTCCTGAACTCTCAGATGTGGCATGATCTTCCCTAATTCTTGAAAAGGTGTTCCTTCAGGGGAATCTGCTAAGCGGACTAGCAAGTCTGTCCCAAAGAAACCTTGCTTGAACCACGACAAGATGTCAGCACCAAGAAACGGTCCCTGGGTATTCCCCTGAGGATCAATGTAGAGCAGAGTCAACTCCTCAGGTGCTGGTCCCAAGTTCTTTTCCTCCCTGTTGCTCTCCAGGGGCTGCCCAATTCTACTGTGATTTTGATTAGAAGAGGCTAAGAGAAATAGAGAATTTGAGTCATCAGGAAGCTTTGCTTTGATGTCAAAAGAAATAGCATTCTCAACACCATCATCTGGATAGTATTGAAGAGCTAAAGAAGAGGCTTTAAATTCCTCTTCGTTGGTAACCTCTTTCCCTGAAACAATATACATTCAATATCTTTAATATCTCTGTATTACAGGACCTATTTTGAATTGATATATGGAGTAGGGCAAAGGATTTGAAAGATTTTAAGCAAAATAATGTTTTTGTTTGAGTGCAATTTTGACAGTGGACAAAGAATCACTGACCAGCTACCATATTCAGATACACTTCATTATTTGATGAGCTACCAACATTGTAAGCTTTGAATGTATCATCATCTGCAGCTTCTTGTGAGGTATCAATATTTTCTCCAGTGGGAATGTGGCTGACGGTACCCTGTTTTGTCTCAGTAGATTCTGAGTCCCCAGATTCTAGATAAGGAATAACTTGAGCGAGTTAGCTTATGCATCACGTACTACAACAACTGAAGCATGAGGGATATGGAGTACCTGAAACATTTTCACTGGTTCTTCCCTGTCTAAACGAGTTGTACACTAACTCACTGCTGGTGATCTTTCCTTTCCATATATCATTAAGGATCCCCTGTTAACATTACATTACACCATCTCAGTACACAAAATAATCAGCTGATAGATGGGTAAAAAAGGCTGATTAGGAAATCACAATATGAATGTGGTTAGAAAGAGTGCAACCCAAATTACCTCCTCTTCAGCATCAGGGGCAACGAAAGCCAATGGTTCCATAAGGTCTTGTGTAATAGGAGGTACTTCCTCCATCCCATCAGGAATGGCAGCAAAAGCAACAGCATCAAGCTTTTGCCGACGATAAATGTTAAGCAACTTCCCTCTGGGATAGCAAAAAGATGCAGCTGCAAATTTTGGCTTCCCAGGGACACTTTCATCTTTTAATGGGTGAACAGCACCAATAGGGCTTGCAGATGAAGTTCTTCCCCTCCCTCGTCCAGCAGTAAATCCCAGATTATGACTCTCCAGCTTTCCCCTCTCAAGTCCAAACCCAGGCGCAGCACGGGAGGTAGTTGAACCACCAGAATGACCCTCCAATCTATGTCTTGGCCTCCACTTATCACGAGAAGAATCTGAGTCACGGTCAGACGTCGGACGGTTGCTACTGACAGAAGATTGATTCTCACTGTGAGCATCATCCTTCTCCTTCTCTGTGTCTGTTCTCTTCTCAGAAGTATGAGATTCCTTCTCCTTCTCTTCAGGACCCCACCTAGAAGACCATTTGTTATCACGACGTGATTCATGGCCAGGGTTGCGATTGGTACCATCATGCCACCGGTCAGAGGAAGACATGGCTCTACTGTCAGTTGTTTCCCTACTTGAAACATTTTCAACACGTCGTTCTCCTTTCCTACGATCTCTCCTACTGAGTAAACCAGTTTCTCTTTCCTCTTCACGCCAGCGGCGGTTACTTTCATTCTCAGTCACAGTTTTCCTCCAATCTTTTTTCTCTTGAGATCCATCCAAGCGCCAAGCCTCCTTCTGAATGGGATCAGGGGGGTTTCCGAGTGAAACAGAAGGTGGACCACGTGAATCCTGCAACACAAGAACCAATATTAAGGAGTTAATCTATCATGGTATAACATTTGCCAAAATCAAATGATCCACAGAGCAAAATGGAACACATAGCTTTACTAGTATTCCATGTAATTATTGCACTTTAAATTTAAAGCCCAAATTATTGTACGTTTTGAATATTATAATCACTTTCATTGAAATGAAAAATAAAAATAAGGCAAGAATCCCTAGCAAATTTTGGAAGATACCATCTTAGTCTCAGAAGGTTTAGCATAGAGCCACTGAGGAGACAACGGGATGCTGCTCTCTAGTGTCATTTGATCTGCAGATACAAATCAAATCACAAGTTAATTTGACAGAAGTACAACACACAACAAAGGAAAACCACGAAACCAAACAAAGAAGACAGGACTAAATTATTGCTCATTAACAAAAGATTCAATGCCACAAGACAAGGATACAATATACCTTTTGGCTCATCAACTTTTTCATCCTGTCCTCCCAAAGTTTCCACTGGCGTAATGTGCCCAAAATGAAAAAAAAAAAAAATGTTAAATCAATACACGGGGAGTTCAGCTGAAAATTAACAATAACCTAGAATCCAAAACCCTTTAAAAGATATAGTTAAATTAAAGGAATTAGAAATTCATAGAAACTCACAATTCATAGTGAAACCAGAGAAATTAATAGGAAAAACCAAAGTCAAAACAATACACGAGAAATATAAATCAAACTTAGAAATCAACCTCACATTTAACTTCTAATGCTCTCTAAATTGTAAAATTGACATAAAAAATAAAAGTTCAACAGTAACCAATTTGAACCTGAATCCAAATGCTACCACTAACAGGGCAAGCCATATCACAAAATAAAGAGCAATAAATTTCGAGAACATTACACAGAATGCAAGAGTTAAAGCCATATCATTAATATATCAACAGATCATGTTAAAGCATGAACGAAGGATGGCATACAAGTTGCTTCACCGAAAACAAAATAGTCTATTTCTCTTAGCTAAGGAACACAACTGAATATAAACTATACTTCTTAGGGAATGAATTAATAAACAAAAAAAATTCAAAATCTTGAATAGTGGCAGTAGCAATCTATATCAAATTACAATCGAAGGCTGCATAGACGTTGCCTTGAAAGAAGTAAAAACAAATCAGCAAATTAGCAAAATAAAAACAAAATGATAAACAAATTGCTCAAGAAGTTCAAAACCCTAATTAACGAACTTAATGTCGGATATCACGATGCGGATTCCTCGACACAGAGTTCAGATCAACAAAGCCGCAATCTCACATTTACTCTCGAATCAGTAAAATCCATCAAATAATGGAATCAGAACTTCAATAACGAAGAAGCAGAAAAGGCAGAAAGATGGAATCACTGAACAAGTATCAGAAGTACCTTTGCCGGTCCAAGACCGATCGGACGGCTTCAACGAAAGGAGATCCTCCGGTAGATCGGACTTGCCGTCAGCCATCGAACGCGAAGTCAACAAGTTGAAATACGGAAAGGAAAAGTGAGTAAGTGAGGCGGCGAAGATCGAGCAAAGGAAGAAGAAGACGGAGAGAGAGGATTGGAGAGGAGCAGAAGCAGAGAGATGGAGATTGAATTTGGACGGGAAATAGTGAGGTCGGGGGAGGAGTTTCGGAGATCGCCTGCGTTTTGGAAGCGTGAATTTTTGAGATTTTTTTTTATTTTTTTGGGGTGGGGGTGCGGAACGTTTTTTGTGTGTGTCTGTGTTTGGAGAAGATGGGAAGTAAAGGGTAAGGGGAAGGCTTGGGTGGTCAGAACAGCGAAATCTGTTAATCAAGTAAGGTGATTGCAGGTAGCTTAATAAAGATATATAAAAGTAGCATATGCTTTATGGCTTATCATTTCTAACCTATTATTACAAAATTTTTTACAACTTTCATATGAATTAAAAGTTTTAATATTTTATTAACAATATAAATAACTTAGTGATTATCTCTTTTAACTGGAAGTAAGAGATTTTGAATTTAAGTCGCATGACATGCGAATAGGATGCGATAAAAAATAAGAGATAGTTACTACTTATTATGTAACAAAAAAAAAAAAATTGATTTTAATACTTTATAGTCCAGACATAAGGAGTTTAGACAAAGGAGAGTCTCTAATATCAATGCATATGCTCTTTATTTAAAGATTAAGAGTTTGGTATTTTACAATATGAATAAAGTGATGTTCCATATTAAAAACTATAAATTTATTGAATTAATGCATATAATATCACAATTTCTAATAGAATGAGAGTAAGAAGAATAAATTATTAGATGTTATATAAAATTATATAAAAAAATTTTATGTAAAAATTGTCTCTAAATATTTTTATTTTTAGGTCTTTTATTTAAAATTTAAAAATAGATAAATATCATATTAGAAAACTTTATGTTTAAACTCTAAGCAAGAGCATTAAAGGATTCAAAAATAAAAAACCATCACAAAAAATCTCTTTAGGTTGGCTTGTTAAACTGCACCTCTTGCAAGGTTTTGTTGTTACTTCCAATTAGGCTTTAGCTTGCCTAAAAATTCTTGTTGAAGTATAAAAGACTTCGAAAGGAAGGGAAAACTCTCTGTTGGCTTCTTACTCGATCTAGGTTTGTTAAACTTAATTCTAAGATTAAAAGAAGTAGTAAAAAATAAAGAACTTAGAAAATTCCTATTAGAAATTTTTATGTTGAAGCAATGAATAAAAGTTTTGGTAACTTCTTTTTTAAAAAAACTTTTTTGTCAATCAACTATAGTAATTTTGTTGAATTCTTACATACATGTTTGTACCTCTCAATCACCATTTGAGTGAAGCAATTTTAACATACTTTAGTATGTTCCTTGCTAAGAATGAGAATTGTATCAAGACTTAATCGTGAGATTAATTAGATTAATTGAGAGGTTCTATTTGTGTCTAGTTGAAACTTCTTTCAAAATTTTTAAAAATGTCCTTTTTTATCATAAATTAAAATAACATTTTGTACTAAATTTTTTGTTTTACAATGTAAAGTTATTAGATGAAAAAGACTTAACTCCCAACATCAACGGATTGCACAACACTTTTTGTTTTTTATTTAGAAAAGTAGGATGCTGAGAGATTGCCAAAAGAAACACAATCTGCACAAGTACTCCTGTAGTTACATTTTATTGGCCACTGGAACTCTGGCCCTCTTTTCCAATTTCCTTCTCTGTACAACACAAACAAACCTCAAAAGTAAAAATCATACGCCTGTACTTAAATAGTACCAATTTCCACAAGGAAAGCCCCGGCCCAAAATCGCTCATTATGACTTATGAGCCAAACCCTTCAGTATCCAAGCATAAATAAACTCATGGTCCTGCACATTTTATAATGAGAAATGATTTTTATATAATTTCTATGAATATATAAAGAATAAATCCCATGTTCGAGCCTAGTACAATATGCCACTTACTTAGTGGGGGACATCCATTAGAGTTGATGGTTTAAGTGTCGGGGTTTTCCCATT